TCTGCACTGTTGGACTGTATCCCTCCATAATTACCAGCCCAGGAGAGGAAGGTTACTCATGGAAACATCTTGGAGGCAGCATGAGCAGGGCTCTGGGTACATCCCAGCCTTCAGCTGTGCTTTGTGGTTTGTTGCTCTTATCCAAAGGACATTAATGCATCTTTAGAGCCCAGCCAGGAGCTCAAGTGCTCTCCTGCTCCCTGGAAAGAGTAGAACCCCTCACTTTCCCCTGGGTTCTGATAGCCCAAACAGACTGCTTATCTTAAATGTGGCTTTTTTTTCCTCTCAGGTGTCCTTCCTGCTGGGTTTTGTGTCAGTTCAGCCCCAGGGCAGCACTTCTGTAAGGATTCCCTCCTGCCAAGAGTTAAACAGAATTCTTTTGTAGAGCACTGGCAAATTGAAACAAACCAGACAAGAAACAGTGTCAGTCAGGTACAGTGCAGAGATTTTTATTCACATTTAACTTCTTACACTGAAAGTTCCTGCAGCCTAACAGAGTGACTGGGAAGAAGAGGTGAGGATTGGAGAGCAGGGGTGGGCAGGGGCTGCAAATTCTTCACTTCAGCCCCAAAACTTTAATTCAAGGCAGATTTTTGTCCTATGATGCTTTGATAGGATAAGTGTCACACAGGGAGCACGTACTGCTCTTGGAGGTACTGTGAAGGGATTCATTTTAAATACATATTTTATGAAAAGCTTATACAACAGTGAATGAATTCTTCTATAAAATGAAGCAGTAGCACCTTCTTACTTTCTGGGAGCTTCATGTCTAGGGGAGCATTTTTAAATATGTAATTCCAGTTGGATAATAAATAGAGCTGCAATTCCTGTCCTGTCCCCTTTCCTCCCCTGGGCATGGTGATGGTGGCATTTGCATGCAGTAAATTCCTGGGATCATTCTGGAGAGCATTTTTGTGCTAATGGTAATGAGGCTGGACTGCCCTTTCAGCTGGAATTAAGCAAGGGACTGTTCAGCAGGACTGCACTGAGGCATTTAGGGATTTTGGAAATCACACCTTATGTTCCAAAACCTGTTTCTGGCATCAGCCATAATTCTAATCCCCTCTTTTCCCCCCCTTAACTGAAAAGAATCATGAGCTTAATTTTGAGGGAAGCAGAAACCATCTGCTTTAGGACTTTTCTTCCCCTTTTTAGGGAAAGGTCTGTGATGAACAGGGTAAAGCAGAACTCACAAGGTACTTTACATCTTGGCTTCTGCACAGGAAACAAAAGTCATTCAAACATCAATGCCTGGGTGGCAAGACCTTTTTCCAGCCAAGAGTAATGATCTGTCTATCCAGCAACATGTGTTCAACCCAAAAAAATGTGGTGTTGAGGTCCCTGAGACAACTGGATGCTGATTTATGGTACAGGCAGTATTAGTGGGTACATGCTGTGCTCCTGTACTTGTTTACTTAGTTGTGACTGAGCAAGGTGGATGTGGGGGCCTTAAAGCTGTTCAGAATTTAGATTTCCCAGTTGGGGAGTGGGTTTCAGTTGGCAAAGCCTCTTCTGCAGAGACAGACAAGCCTCAGTGCTGAATGGGGGAAAGCTTTACTAAAATAATAAGCTCCACACATAAATGCATTCAAAAAGAGCCCATGTTATAACAAGTACTCCATCTGCCAAGACTTTTCTAGAAGAGAAAACCCAGTTCTGCTACAAGGAAAGCTTTACCACTCCCTCAAACCATACTGCTCAAAAAAAATCTGTGTTTTTAATGGAACACACAGGTGAGATTTGAACCCAGTTTTACCCAGTCTGCACCGAGGGGCAGCTTTCCTGAGAAATTCACAGGGGAGGTTTCCAGGGTATTTTTTCCATTGCCTCCCCTTATATTTTAATGGGATAATTCCTGCCATCATCTGTGTTCCTCAGCTGCTGTGAGATCTGTTGAGCACAGGCTGGTCCCAGGCTGTTGGGAACAGAGCTCCTGGCACAGGAGGGAATGGCCATGTGCTATTTGCAACCTGCACCTCTCCTTTGCTGAGAGAACATCAGTCTGGATTAGTGACTCCCTGAGAATTCTGCCTGGATCCAGCTGAGACACCAACAAGAAACTGCTCCACAGTGAAAGAGGAGAACTTCATCCCACAGCTCCAAGAGGTAGAACCAGCATTCCTGGCTCTGAGATCCAAGTCTTACTGCCCCAGTAAATGTAAAGTCTTACTCAGACCCAGTATTTTCCTCTGATTTTCTCCTGTTCTCCCCAACACTGAGGTTCCTTAGCCCAGGAATAGCAAGGCAGCAATTGTGTGACACAAGTCTGTGCCAGTGCTGCTCTGGAACAGATTGCACAGAGACAATACTGGCACAGAGACACTTTAGCTGTTCACCCACTCACAAACCTCAGCTTTCACCTAAGCTTCAAGCTCCAAAAGAACTCCCAACCAACATTTTAGGATAACTGGAAATTGAGTTCTGTTGTACCATTTCACAGAACTGTCCCATTATTCAACTCTTTGCTCAGGACATGGCTGGAAAAGTCACCCTGTGGCACACAAACCCTGGTAATTCAGTGTATCATTACAGATAAATAGTAAAAAAATAACCCAAGCACAACTGCTGACGGTTTTCCATTGGGTTTTGGAATGGATTTAGTGCTCTGCTGCTCTCCAGGCTTTGGATTCCAGTGGCTAATGAGTTGAGCAGAGCTCTAAAACATCCAGCACAAAGCAGTTAATGAGGTCTTTGCTAAAGGCTGAGGAAGAACATTTCAGCACCAGTTCTGTAAATGAACTTGGGAAGAGAGGTCCAACTTGGCTGGATCTCACACATCCCAACAGGACATAACCAGGAAACAAAAGAAAATCAAGTAATTCTTAGTAATGCTGAGAAACTCCCCTGGAGAGGAACAAAGGTAAAGAGCCTTTCAAATGGCAAGAGTTGGATTTGGGATTGGCTCTTCCATGGCACAGCACCAAGGGCACAGTGGAGAAGGAACGTGTCCTTTGAGACTCTGCCAGGCCCCTGTGATTCACACCTCCCAAATAATCCAGCACTTGACCCTCAGTAAGTGCCATACACAGAAAACATGGGAAGAATGCTAATTTTGGATCATGGAAAAAGCAAAATAAACCCAAGCCAAGGTGGCTGCAGGAACACACAAGTGAAAATACCAGCGTGCACAGGTTTTACCATGGAGAGCTGTCACAGTGCTGAGCTCTGCTGCTGCACCTCCAGCAGAATCTGTGTGAATAAACATTTCCATTGCAAACCCTGCTCCAGGAGTGAGGCTGGCTGAGGTTTGAGTCATCCATCACTGTGGATTTCAAGGTACAAGTAACACAGGAGAACAAATAGAATTTGTAGAGACAGAGGATGAGGGGGAACAAGGTCAGCTCAAGCCTGGTTTTGAAGCTTTGGTATTTTTGCAGCTGTTGAAGCTGCTTTTCTTTGTTGTCACTACTGTAGCTGTGCAGAGGTGTGAGACTATAAGTACAGGGGAAGCATTTCAGGAGCTCTGCCTCCCTGTCATTAATTTGGGAAGGCAGAAGGAAGTTAAGCACATCATGTTCACAGCATGTGAAACAAAGCAGAGGCTGCTGGGCCCCTCCATTCAATTTAGATTTATTACCATATAGATTGTTCCACAACTTAATCAGGGATCCCACTGGCACAGCTGATGAACAGGTCATGGTGGTTAAGGATTCTCCTTGGGAAGTGACTTTGGGTGCACATGAGCTCTATGTGCCTGATAAAGCAGATTTGGGTAGAGCAGCAGCCTGGCCATCCCCAGCTGCTGGGATTGGAGCTGGGGCTCACCATGCCAGGTGTTCCCAGCACACCCAGAATGGGCTACAGCAGAAATGTTTACCTGTGAGGAGCAGCAGGAATAATTCTATCAGTTTAGCTTTTTGGCCCACATGATTCCTAAGGAGTAAGCTCCTTTTTAATGATTCTTTACAGCGGTTACTGACTCAGATTAAAAAAGCTAATTTTAGCCTGTCATGTTCCTGTTCAATGCAAGCACAGCTGACCCTGGGACAAGGTATGTGCAGTCATATGTTTTTAGGTGGCCCTAAGGAATGTCAGTCCCAGCAGCCTCACATCCCTGGAAGTTTTTTAGCAAGAAGTGAAATACAGCAGCAGGGCCATTGCTGGTGACAGCTTGTGTGTATTTAGTTTTGTTTTGTTTCCAGGTCCAGAATCTACAGTATAAGCCAAGGATCAGTTTCCAGCTGGCAGATCCATGGCCTTTGGTGGCCCTAGGAGTGGAGTGCCAAAAGGCCACCATCCCAGGCTGCAAAACAGCCTTGCTAATGGCCTTGGACCTCTCAGTGAGCCAAAAAGAGAGGTTCTTTTCATTTATTTTCAGATTAGGAAGACTAAACCAGAACTCCCAACTCCTATGCTACAGTTTATCAATTATAATAATAACAGTAGTAATAGTCATCATAATAAAAAAATAATCTGGGTAGAAATGCCTCCAGTCTTAAGATCCTGCACCTGGATAAAATGCTGACACTCAAGGGAAGCTCGAGGTGGGCTGAGCTGCAGGAAAACACAGCACTGACTGTACTTCTGCTCTGTACAACAGAACACTTTGCTCAGGGGGAAAGCTGAATACACATGACAGACAGCATTGTGTGCTGAGTCAGTGCAAGCACAACAGCTGCCAATTTTCATCCTTGCAGAGCAGCCAGGACGGCTTTTCCCAACAGAGAACACCACTGACAGCAGCCTGACAGCGTTACTGCAACAGATCACTCCACCCTGAGTGACACAGACTCTCCTCCCTCCATTCAGGTGCAAAGACTGACCTGGAACAACCTCTGCCAAGCTCTGCTAAGGCACAGGCTTGCCCAGACATGCTGATTGCACTTAACCCAGTTCTACTGAAAACTGGCTTGAGAGCTGTGCAAATACACTCCAGGTTCCTGAAGTGGCCAGAGACAAAACCATGCTGGGAAGAGAGAAAACCATGCTGGTGCTCTACAATTCTTAGTGTGTGACTGTGAAAAGGTTAAAAAATAGAAGCAAAATATTTAACAAGGACACATGATTCTGCTTTTTTAATTTCAAAGGCCAGAGCAAAGAAACTATTGGTGACCTAGACAAAAAAAACCCAACATCAAACCCTAAAAAGGGCATCTCACTTCAGTCTTACCTGGAAAACACTATTGCAGCTTTTGAGCTTCCAGAGGGACCCCTCCCTCTGGAATTATTAACCTTTCCTAATAGAGGGCAGAGAGACAGAAAAATTTGGCACAACCATTCTCAACCAACCAAAAATGAGTCTCCAGCATTCAAGAGCTTTTCTTTAACACACCATTAGCAGAGTATTTAGTGTACAGCAAACACAGGGAATGGTTTGGGGGTTCCCTGGCACGGAAACAGAGCTGTCCCCCAAACTGAAACCCTGATTATCTTCACTCCTTGTTTCCTAAAAACTAAGCACAGGCTGCTGGGGCTCAGTTGAACACCCTTAGTCACAGATATCCAGAAGCACCTGTGCAGCCTGGAGTAGGTTCAGTCTGTGTCACATTTTGGGACCGTGGCTCCCTCTGGGGCTGGGCACACAGAGAGGTGATTGGACCAGGCAATAATTCCATTCTCACCCCAAGGAAGGTTTGCAAAGTGCTGGGAGGAGATAACCCACAAGCCTTTTATTTTGAATTTACCAGAGGCAAGGCAGGGCCGGGCACTGCTGTGCTCTCCCTGGGATCCAGGGGCAGGAAATTCTCCTGCTGCTGCACTCTGCAGCACTACCAGAAAAGATCCATTCTGAGCTACAAACAGCAAACTTTGCCAGCCAGGGATTTGGTCTTTGTGTCCTTCCCCCTTAAGACAAAGCCAGTTTTCACATTAAATATTAAAACATTTGCACCTGATCTGCACGTGAAGCGCTCGAGCCACTGCTGAGTGACTGGAATGTAGCTGACAGTTTATACCTGGAATTATTCTTTGGCTCTTTTTCAGTTATACCCAGAAAACACACCACACCCTGGTTCTGTTCCTATACCACCACTGCTTCAAGTCCCAATCCACGGGTCTCAGACACCGTGCAGTGCTGAAGAGGAAGGAGAGTCCTGGTTTTCTACTGAGGATACACTTCGGAGTAGAGCAGTCCCTCGGCTGAAATGGCATCCCCGAGTCCCACGGTCCGCACGGGATCCTTGCACACCAGCACAGGGGTGAAGTGGAAGGAGATGCCTTCCCTGTGCCAGTGCACCACGGGCTCGTCTGGATTGAGGGAAATTTTTGATGGTGCCTCCGTGTGGGAGGTGACGAACTCCAGAGGAGCTTTGAGGAAGACCTTGCTGGTGTCGATGGTGTCGGTGGCACAGGCCTGGGTGCCGGCAGCCCTGGCCCCAGCCGCCACCGCCGCCGCCTGGTTGCCCCAGTGGCCGTCCACGGTGACCAGGATGTGGTAGGCCAGCGTGTGGAAGTGGATCCGCGTGAGGTCCGAGGCCCGCTCCGCCGTCTTGCCGTGCTCCTTCAGGATCCAGAAGAGGATGTCGCTGACCACCCCCACGTCGGGAATGCCGCTCCAGGAGGCCAGGGAGGCGTGGGGACCAGAAGCAGACTGGGTGAGGAACAGCAGCTCCTGCTCGTTCAGCCCGATGGAGTTCACCAGGGGAAAGACCTGCTAACAGAAACAGGGAACGGCGGGTTTGCCTTCAGGAGCGGAGCCACACCTGGGAGCCCTCCCCAGGCCGGGGATTTTGCAGTACCCTGCTGCTGCCTCAGCAGAAGCAGCACCCAGTTTCCCAGTCACTGCACTTCCACAAAGTTAGCCAAGAAAACATTCCATTCGGTGCAATTAATTTTCCAGACACACACTTTGACAATAAAGAGTAACAACACAACTCCACATGTAACACTGAGATCAGATCTGTGTCAAGCCAAACAAGGAACCACCAGGAAAGAAATTCTGCAAAGAAATTGAGGGGTATTTTAAAATTATAAACTCAGCTCAAATTCATTCCTCAATTCGTCTTCCAATGCATAGTCCAAATGTTGAGTTTTGATGTCTATACTCATGCACTAGTGTGTGCACTGTGATACTGAGCTGAAAAGAGCACATCTTTTCATTTTCCTTACCTGATGCATAATGTTGCTCATAAAATCCTGATCAGTCATACTGGCCAGCTCCAGGTGTATGGGAATGTCAGTTGGGATATCAGAGATGGAGGCCACAGCCTACAGGAAAAAGGAAAAAACAACCTTAGAACACGTATTTATTAAGGAACAGAAGAAGAAAAAGGGTTGTGACTCAAGATACACATCCTTTGATCTCCCTGTGTGCGGATATAAGCAATTCAAGGGGATGTCTGACCTGTGTATGTAGTGCTAAGGAGAGGATATAAAACAACTTCTAGTTTGCAGAATCCCAGAGCAGGAAAACTATCTAGCCTTAATCTGCTCCCAGCTCAGAACCTTTCTAAAGGATTACTTCCAAAAACCTCACAAATCTGAAGCAGCTATAGAAGAGCTGATCCCAGAACATGAAAAATGCCAATGCCTTGCATCAGGACAAGCCCTCAACTGTAAAACAGGCGGCACAAGACAGATGCTCTTTAAGGAATGCAGGTGTTGATTATAATCTGGATCATCTCAGTGTCCAGCACAGAAAAAGCCTGGTTTAGCTGCTAGACAAGCCCAGTACCCAGGTCAACACCCTCCAGCCAGGCAACCAGCTCTTCTTTTCCCTAGACAAGCCATGGAATCTAAGAAAAGACACTGTTACGTGGTTAGACTTCAGCCATTCCTGTAGCTCCCACTCTCCTGTTGAGATTCAATCCTGAGATCTGTGGCACAGCCTTCCTACACCTTGAAACCTGGGAAAACAAGGCCTTGCCACGACACACCTGGAGGGGAAATGAAGGCAATTCAGGGATTCAGAACCTCACCTCCATGAGTCGCCTCTGTCTCATCTCCTTGCTCTGCCCTTCCATCATGTGTAGTCCTGAAAGCACCACCAGGTCTGGCTGGAATTCATCCAGGCTGGACACAAACACTTCCAGCATGTTCAGGGCGCCGTTGGACAGGTCGTGGGAGAAGATGAAGCGGTTGGCAGCAGGAGCCCTCACTCGGCCCCACTGCTCACCTGGGGTGGAGCAAACAGGACCAAGTGTGTGTGAAATGCTTTATTCCTGGGCAAGATCACAAATTCAATGGGTTCCATCAGCAGCAAGAAAAGCCATTTTAGCTTTTAGAACTGTTTTAGCCATTACATGAAGGCTACCCTGAGTTTCATCAGCACGTGGTTAAATCTCTGTTTTCAGGGAGCATTTTAGTGTTTATGGAGCTTCAGAATGACACCCCTCTGGCTGTGCACCAACCTTAGTGATGTTCAGGGGTACCACTGAACACCTGCTCCATTGTACCTGCTTGATATTCCAAGATAAGATGGAATTCATCTCTTTCCTGCATGGATTCAGGTGGCACAACCACATTGTCATCTAGCAGTTCATGGAGTTTGGGACCAACTGGGCCACAAAGAAGGATCTAGAAAATAAGGAAAAACAAACAAAGTTTCCCTTGCCATGTCCCTTGCCAAAATTTAAGCATCACCTACACAATTGATTTTAAAAAGTTAGTAATTCAATTTTTAAAAATCAGCTTGGAAGTCCAACCATATGTTCCATCAGCAGAACCTAAGAAATAACTGCCAGATCCCCAAAATCTACATGGAAATAACATAAGACAAGCAAATTAAAGAACACAACCAAGTGGCATGAGATGTTTGGAAGATGTGTGTACCTTCAGGTCTGGATTTGTTGCAAGCTTCTGCCCGATGAGAGCAGCATTTCCTCCCACGTAAAGCTGTAAAACAAACAGAGCTGGGTGTGGGCATCCCCTTGCTTTGGGACCTTTAAACACATTTAGTCCTCAGCACAGGCTGGAGATTTTGGCTTTTTAGAACAATGTTCAGCAGTACCCAAGTGACTAAAGGTTATTGGGGCTGAAGGCAAAATGATCTTACAATTCTCTCAACAAGTTGGGCATTCTTTATTTTTAATCTAAATATTCACCTTCAGGTAACAGCCATGTAAAAATCAATTAATTCCCAGCACTGACAGCACTGTAAAAAACAACTCATTCAGCATATAAACAGCCCTTACTCGGTGGCTAAAGTCCTGTGGGTTTTTAGCAAGGCTGACAAGGAATCATTTAAAACCTGCAGCAATTCTTCCTCCAGTTTGAGGTCGAGGTGAAACCTGCTGCCTGTGCCCATGTGAAGTGAAAGGAACTGTGGAAGTTCCTTCAGTAGTAAAGGTCAAACTTTCCAGTTAAACTCTGATTTGAGCTTGAAAAGCAGCGAGTATGGGTTGTCCTAAGGGTCACAGGTGCTCAGAGGAGACCACTGAGAAGATCCGAGGGCTGCTCTGGAGCCAGGCTGGGAGAGCTGGGGGTGCTCACCTGGAGAGGAGCAGGATCCAGGGAGAGCTCAGAGCCCCTGCCAGGGCCTGAAGGGGCTCCAGGAGAGCTGGAGAGGGACTGGGGACAAGGGATGAAGGGACAGGACACAGGGAATGGCTTCCCACTGCCAGAAGGCAGGGTTAGATGGGATACTGGGGAGAAATTCTTCCCTGTGAGGGTGGGGAGGCCCTGGTGCAGGTTGCCCAGAGCAGCGGTGGCTGCCCTGGATCCCTGGCAGTGTCCAAGGCCAGGATGGACAGTGCTCAGGGCACCCTGGGCTAATGGAAGCTGTCCCTGCCATGGCAGGGGGTGGCACTGGATGGGCTCTGAGGTCCCTTCCAACCCAAACCACTCCTGGCTTCTCTCACAGAAAACAGGCCATACAGCTAAAAATCAGGCAACTCCTCACTCCCAACCTCTTTTACATCCTCTGCCCCATCTGGCTCCCAAGAGACATCTCTGACATTTCAGTTTGGGAATGTCAGCAGGGGAGACACCATTTAACCACGCCTCATTTGCAGCGGGGCAGAATCCCAGGGAAAACCATTAACACAACTCAAGCTACACCACAAGCTTCTTCCTCAATGATTTGCTCTCTAGAGGGGGAATGAAAGTCAGCAGTGACAAGGAAGCAAGAGAGAGGATTCCCAAGGCTCTGTCCTGGGTGCAGACCCACCTGTGCTGCGGGGTGCTCCGAGGCTGTGCGGGCAATGTCCTGGAACGCCTCGGCATCGCTGAAGAAGCGCTCGGCAGCCGCCCCTCTCTCCATGAAGTGAGCAAAAGCCTCCTTGAGGTCCTGCCCGGAGTTCAGGACTGCGTGGTTCTTCCCATCGCTGGGCTCCAGGCCCAGCGCCTCCAGCAGCTTCACCCCAGACAGAACCACGTCCACGCAGGCGTTGACGCTGGGAGAGAGAAAGAAAAGGTGTGCTGGGAAAAGCAGACAGACCTCAGGGCACCTGGGAGTGCAGTGAGGTCACATCCCTGACTCTGCAGGGGGAGAGCAACCAGCCAAAGGGAAAAAAGGCCCAGGAATTTCCTGGAGTTCTCTCCTAAAGCTTTCTTCGTTTGACTGGCTTTTATTGTGCTCAGGGAGGGATTTCTAACTTTCTCCTGAATGAAAACGAGGAAAGCTGTCTGGTCCAAGGGTGGCTGAGTATGTTACAATACAGGTTCCACTTCATTTCCTGCCTTGGGCTTCTTAAAAAGAACAGGAATACTAACAGTGGCATTTTAAATTCTTAGAAGCTTTTAAAAGCTTCTAATACCCGTGTATTTTGGGTTTAAAATGTGCATGTGATTCAAAACTGCTAAAAACAAAACTGAAAGCGTTTAAGTCAGCTAGATCAGCTTCTGGAGTTTCAACTATTCCTAATAATACCCAACCCACACACAACTCCCCACACAGACTGGCTCTGTTTACAAAAAGTCAAGAGAGCAATTTGTCAGTTGAAATATTTGAAAACGGCAGTTTCCAAAGGATCATCCCAAACTTACAGAAACAGCACGCAGTGGAAACAGGAGAAAAATCCTGTGATTGTAAGGGAGGGATAAGAACCATTTCAGCAGATCCAGGCTTTTTGGGAAGTCTAACTTCCAGTCCCCATGTCTCATTGATTTAATCAGCACCTGGCTCCATCCCCTGCCATGGGCAGGGACACCTTACACTCTCCCAGGCTTCTCCAAGTCCTGTCCAGCCTCACCTTGGGCACTGCCAGGACAGTTTCATTCACACTAGAGGACAGGAGACTTTCTGGCTAGAACCAGAACCCCAGCAGACAAATTAGAAACACTTGCCCTTGTCTCCCTGTGGTTTCAGAGTGTAGCAAATACTTCCTGAGATAACGCCAGCAACTCCACAGAGGTGCAACTTAAGCATCTTCTGTCACAGCTGTCAAGTGCCATTTCTGTTCCTCTGCCCCACATTTCCCTGACAGGGATCCAAACCATCATCGAACTCGTGCAGGATCCCTGACTTTCTCCACATCTCCCCCCAGGACAGTCCAAGGGCCAGTTCCTGCTCCCTGTCAGGGAGGAGTGCTCAGCACTCAGCACTCCCTTGGCAGTGACCTCTCAGGAGTCAGATTTGGGCTGCAACCAAAAAAAAAGCTGCATCACACAAAATAAAGGACATGAAAAACCCTGAGGCTTTCCATTCCATGAGGTAACCAACCCAGAAATCCTCCGGATGTGCACCACCTCCTACACCAAGGACAGAGAAATTCCCTAGCATTGCAGAGAAAAGAAACCATAAATTCAAGCAGCATTTTAGCCCCAAATTTATGTTTTAGCGAATCATTACAGATCCAAGGGGATAAAACTAAGTCGTATTCCTCTGCTAACACAGAGCTACACAGCCATGGACCTGGATAACCCCTTCCAACATCCAAAGGATCAATCTTCCAGTCAAAGTCAAGTTACCTGCCAGGTCCATATATTTAAAAGAAAGTGAGTCAAGTGCTAAATATAAGATCAATGTGACATTCCTGAACTTTCCCCTTGTTCTCTTCCCACTTTAAAAAGAGAAAGGGTATTGAATTTCTCTGAGCTCAACATTCCTTCCCTGTCCCTTCCCTCCTTATCTCTCTCCAGCTGTGTCTGGACTCAGTTACCTCTTCCCAAAGAAAGGCTCTGCTCCTTTCTCCACTTTATAACTTGTCTCTGGTACCGATTTATTGCCAGCCTGTGCTGGATGGACCAGCAGCTCCAACTGCCCCTAACCCCAACCCTCAGACTGTACATGAACTTGTTTTACAGACAATCAAGCTAGGAATAATACCTCTGGAGAAGGGCTCTAACAGGGCCAGAGCCTGGCTTAAATCCCCACCACAGGAGTGTTCTGGATCACTGATCCCCTTGGCCAACATTCAGCTCCGACTGAGCAGCACTGCAGGAGGTGCTGCACTCACATCCGCTTCTTTTTCATGGAATCATGGAATTGTTTGGGTTGGAAGGTACCTTCAAGGTCACCTGGCTCCATCCCCTGCCATGGGCAGGGACACCTTACACTCTCCCAGGCTTCTCCAAGTCCTGTCCAGCCTCACCTTGGGCACTGCCAGGGATCCAGAGGCAGCCACAGCTGCTCTGGGAAACCTCTGCCAGGGCCTGTCCACCCTCACAGCCAGGAATTCCTTCCCAATATCTCACCTAACCCTGCCCTCTGGCAGTGCCACTGCCCCTTGTCCTGTCCCTCCATCCCTTGTCCCCAGTCCCTCTCCAGCTCTCCTGGAGCCCCTTCAGGCCCTGGCAGGGGCTCTGAGCTCTCCTGGAGCCTTCTCCTCTCCAGGTGAGCACCCCCAGCTCTCCCAGCCTGGCTCCAGAGCAGAGGGGCTCCACCCTCAGAGCATCTCCGGGCCTCCTCTGGATTTGCTCCAGCAACGTCCTGATACGGGGGACTCCAGAGCCGGAGGCAGCTCTGCAGGTGAGGTCTCACCTGGGCGGCACAGGTGCATCCCAGACACACCGCTATGCGCGCCGGGGCCGCAGCACCCCCGCACCCGCACGCTCCAAACCCGCACACGTGGACAGCGGGATGCGCATCCCGGCCCAGGCGCGCTCCCCGCGCGCTCCCGCACCTACCCGACGGCGACGCGCGCCCAGCCGCGCGCGGGGCGGACAATGGCCGCCTGCCAGGCCGCCACCGTGCGCGCCTCCAGCGAGCGGGCGCGGCGCAGCGTCCCCAGCAGCGAGGCCGAGAGCTGCCGCAGGGCCGCGGGGGGCAGCTCGGGGCCCAGCACGCACAGGTAGCCCAGCGCCAGGGCCAGCAGGCCCACGCACACCGACCGCTGCCACATCGCGCCGGGCGCGCTCCGCCGCTCCTCCTCCTCCCCCGCCGCCGCGGCTGAGGCGGGGCGCCGCCGGCGGGGGCCTCCTTACGCCGCCTCCGTAGCGCCCCGCCCCCGCCTGCCGGCGGATGGCGTAAACCTCTTCGGGAATCCTGTCGCGCCGCTCCTCCTGCGCAACCTGCGTGCGGCCAGGCCATGCGGTTGCGCCACCTTCGTAAATCGGTATGGGAATAGCGCTCCCCCTGCGAAACTTACGTGCGGCTCGGCAATGTCGCTACGTCACCTGCGTAACTCGGCACGAGAATAGCGTAGGCAGCAGCGGGCGGCGCGTCGTGAGGGGAGATGGCGGGACGGAGGCTCCCTCACGGCACCGCCGGGCCGAGGCCTCCGGGAACGGGCTGGGCCGAGGCAACCGGGCCCCCAGGCCGCCGGGATGAGGAGGTGAGCACTGCCCCGGTGCTGGGGCTTTCAGTAGAGCTGAGCTGATGTCTGTCTGGGCATCATGCCTGCAACCTCCTATGTATGTGTTGCTGCTGCTCCATCCCCTCCCTGGCGTTCCTCCTCATGGTGCCGTTATTTCTTTGTTCCCCAACACTTTTATGGGTCTGTATTGTGTTTCCACTCTGCCCCAACAGCACAGTGCCTGCCGTCCCACAGCTCCTCTGCCCTGCCTCACACCAAAGTTTCTCTAAAGGCTCACATCCATCAACCCAGTCACTGTCTGAAGCTAATAACCAACTCTAATCTCTAATATACTTTTTTTTTTTTTTTTTTGGAAAATTTCGTTAGACCTGCCCACATCCCTGAGGCCGTCTCAGGTGCTGGGCGCAGGCCTGGGAATGCCCTTTGCTGCCTGGTGCATCCATCACAGAGATGCTTTAGTGAGCAAGAAGGGAGGTTTCCCTTTTTAATGAAAGGGAGTTTTTCTGGGCTTCTTTAGAAATCACAGGAACTTTCACTCAGAGACTGACAAAATTTGCAAGAGTTTGACAACTGTACGCCGCAGCGCGTTGGCTGAGGCAGCCGATAATTTCCTTACTCAGTTCTGTGTTGTGAGCGATTGTCATCTCCTCAGACTCTGACAAAGCAAGCAGTAAAGGAGATAGATCAATGCAAGGCTTTTTTGCTGATTTTTCTTTCTTTTTAGGATGGTATTTAGTCAGCAGCCATGTCATGGATTCATGTCTGGCCCTCATGGCTCATTGGCTGCCCATCAGGTTCCCTTTCTTCCTGGCATTGCCATAAAGGATTTCCTCATTTATTTATGCATTCTCTTCCTCTGAAATTATTCCTCAGAGCTTTGAGGTGCCAAGATGGGCAGGCCAGGCAGATGATGGTGGCTGGAATTGCTGGTGAAGGAGAGAGTGAGAAAAAACCCTTCTCACCTGACACCTGATGGTGACCAGGGGCATGACTGGCTTTGTGAGCCTAAAGCAGTAACGTAATGATCTTTAAGAACAGAACTGTGAAGACAAACTGGAGGCCTTTCTGCCTTCCCCATTCTTTACCAGATCCTTCAAGCAGTTCTTTATCCTCAAATGCCTTCCTGCCATAGCAGCCCTTCACAGAGTGATCATCTTCTCCTCTCAGACCCTGTTCAGCCCACCAGAGTTGCTTGGTTAATGTGTAACCCGCTCTTTTCCTTTGCTCAGGTGGTCTTTGGGTTTTTTCATTTGAACAGATTGAATCATTTCCCCTTCAGTGCTTTTCTGGCTGATGTTTGCTCTGTGTTTATGAAATCTCTCTGGTTTCACACTCCCTGGGGGAGAGGCCTGCGAGGCTCTCGTGGTTACAAACAGCCCTCCAGCCCAAGCAGGCAGAGACAACAGAGTACATACCTGCCCCAAAACCCTGCTGCAATGAGGGCTTCACCTGTGGGACCAGGGGTATTTATAGCCTTGTCACAGAACATCATAATTAGATGTGCCCATGGGGCAGCCTCAACCCAGAGCGTTGTCACTGCTCAGGGACCCCATTATTAGTCCCATGTCAGGGTGTGGCTGTGAGCAGCAATCTGACACTGCAATAGTTTGGGGAGTTCAGGCACAATTCACAATTGGGGAGATTAGTTTGTCAGCTGATGCTGATGCAGTTGCTGTCCTGAAGACTAAAGTTTGGGGTTTTTTTCTGCAGATGCAGTTTCCACATCAATGCAATGGATGCTGCTGAGGAAGAACCACCTCAGTCTGATCTTTGTAAAGTGCTGGTGTTCAGCCTCCATGGACAGTTCTGGCAGTGCACTTGAATAAGGCTGCAAAGGTAATTGTATGATTCATTTTACAATCTGCCAACAAAAATAAGAGGTTTATTCTCTCAGAGAACCTGTTCAGTTAAAGAGCTAAACACCCATTTCTTGGTCAACATTTATTTTTTAAGCCAATGGAGATCTAGATTTGCCTCAAAGAGCAAAATTAGAGGTGAAACGGTTGGCTGAGAGCTCAAGTCCAGCTCCTTATTGCCTGCCCTTGAGCCACCCAATGAATTCCAGTTAGAGGTAACAGAGAGGGACACAGGGCTGTTGGATTCATATGAGCTACCTCAGACTGAGTAAAAAGTATTGATTAAATATCTGTTTAATTACGGAAATAGCAAGCTGATTGCCTCTGGGTCACTGCTGTGTGTCATTTCAAAGAGTTGAAACTGATCTCAATGAATTTTCACTGGGATACTTTTATTAAAAGCATGGGAAGAGAAGGGTAAGATTTAAAAGATTTTTTTAGAATGCAAAGAGTTAAAATTTAATGTCAACAGTTTTCCTTCATTTCTGTTCCCTGGTGTTATGAAGTTCTTGTATAAGAAATCTTTTTCTTGACAGCTTTTTGGTGTAAGCTGCTTGCGACTTGGGGGAGTGGCAGAAGGACAGTGGTTTTAATCAGTGTTCAGTTATTGGAAATGGAACTTGTTCCCTTTAGGGAAAAAAAAAAAAAGAGAGAAAAGGTGGGGAAAAAGAGAAAAGGTGGAAAACTCCCCTTTTTCTTCAGGAAGCAGACAAAGGATGTGATTCTGGCTTGTTTGAAGATTAGCTATGGAGAGTTGCACAGTGGCACCTGTTCTCAGGCCGCTCAGAACTGACAGACCTGTCAGTGTGAGCTTTTGACTTCACTGAATTTGCTTTTCAGACTTGAAACTTGCCTTGGTTTGGAGAAATGAGGGTTTGCCAGACCCTCCTTAGGCAGGAGGCAAGAGGGAAGGAAATGAGGGTGAGCACATTAGGGAGGGGTGAAAGCCAAAGCTTCTAGCTCCCAAAGGAGATCTGGAAACCTGTTTTTCTTACTCTGAACTCACAACCTTGAAGCAATTGACTTTACTCCTTATTGAGTTGAGTTCCCATATTCAAATGAGCTCATTCCCTGTGGGCTGCTTTGCCCAGTTAAACTCTAGGCCAGTGCATAACACAGGGAGGGGAGGAGCCTTCCCAAAGTATGAATTCCTTTGTTGTTGTTAGGATGGGTCATGTGTGTCTGCAGTGCCTGGGATGGAATCTCTAGCTGGTGCCAATGAACACTGGGCAGGACCCAGGGCACAATTTGGATGGCAGGTCCTTGCAGCCCTCTTAGCTCCTGTCCTGTCCAACACTCCCGATGTACTGTCCCTTACTTCTGCCTTCCCCAGCACCCTGGAGTCAGTTACTCAGGTTTTGTGTGTCCAGCTCACTCCTCTGTGTGTCATCATACCTTGCTATCAGACTGCCTTTGCTCACAGGCCTCATTTAATCCGAGCTGGGCACTCTTTCCAGAACCACACATCACTCCATGTACATGGAATCAGTGCCTACCTGTGACATTCCACAGAGCCAGCAGCAGAACACATGGGGTGGGTGGTTGCTACCAGTGTGGCTTCACTGGGGGAGGAGAAGAAAAAAATTGAAGGTAGGTTTTTTGGCTGGATCCTAATAAAGGCCTGGAAAATTCACAAAGTTTCTGCTGAGCCATGCAGATGAGCAGAGGGGCTCTAATTAAAATACACACTCGGTGTTGTTCTCAGAAACTGGGCAACATTCCCCGTCTGAGCTCTGCCAGCAGATCTCAGTCCTGGACTTCAGCACCCACTGCTGCTCTGCTCTGTGAGACACCCACTCAGCTTGGCCAGCACAGCTCAATCTCAATCAGAAACATCTCGTGCTGTTCCAATTCTGGGCCCTTTATGAGCAGAAAATGCCATCTCTCTACTAAATTGTGCCAAATTGCTTAGTTTTGGCTGCAGTACTCATTCTCACTTGTCACCTAATGGGATACCTGGGGACTTCCATCTACACTGTCAGCAACAGAGGAAGACTCATGTGCACGCCCAGCCCCCTGCTAAGCCCCTGGTTATATAGTGATGTGTTAATAACAAACACTCTTTCATGTCTTGGCAGTTGCAAACCTCTCCTCAGTAGAGCAGTGCTTCAGAAGTAGAATGGCATGGGAAATATGCAAGTCCCAGTTTTAAATAATTAGTATCAGCTTCTCTGGCAACTCTGTTCCCAGAATGAGAGTTGGGAAGAGTCTGAAGCTGCCAGATGCCACTTGTGTGGATGTTATGCAGAATCTGAACCACATTGGAGAGATTTGCTGTTGCAAAAGTATTTCTGCACAGAGAATGTCTTTCCCTCCCTCCCAGGTTATGAATCTGCCTTCCTTGGAGACCTTGCCACCTCCCAGTTTTTGACAGCTCAGCAGTGGGAAGCAGAACTGTTTCCATTTTGCCTGAGACACCAGGGCTAGAGCTGGCATCATCCATGTCCAAATTTATGCCTTTCTTTCAATTGGAGCCAAATTGCTGGATTTTGCAGTGCTGGTTGCTCACACCCTGTGATGACCAGCCTGACTTCCAGAAAATCCACAGGAACTGGAGCAGGTGTGAGCCACCACCTGTGCTGGTGAACACCCCAAGCAATCAGAGGTGGTGGCAGTGACTGCTGAGCTGCTTGTTTCTGGAGCAAATGGTTCAGATCAGTGAAGATGGAACAACTAAAATTTGTGGGAAGAAGGTTAGGAAATCATCCTCAGGAAGTGAGAAACTTTGGTAGGAAGGTGTTTTGACTGCATTTCCAGTCTTGCTCCTGTGTGACTCCAGCTACAACGCTGTCAGCAGCTGAGATCTGCAACGAAACCCGTGTTTATCTGTCAGGTGTGGCCCTGTAAACATGAGAGTGATTAGGTGTGTTACAGGTTGTAGGCACACAGTTTGTGGTAATGGGAGTGGGGCTGTGGCCCAGCCTCATCCCCAGTGGGCACAGCTGTGAGCAGCACTGACAGCAGTGAGCCATGGAGTGCCTAGGGGCACTGAGCAACCCCCAAAGGGAGCAGAGGGCACACAGGGGCAGTGCATCAACATGAGGGGTATAAGAGGTTGGGCTAAAGAACAAAAAGATGCTTGCAGTCTTCTGGAGTGATATGATGTTACTCTGTATGGGCTGATGCCTGAAGCCCTCTGATGTGATATGGTGTTACTCTGTATGGGTTGAAGCTTCCTGAAATTGTATAACTCGTGCCTGTCTCAACTGTGATGTATGCTGCCACAAGAGGTGTGTTGTTCAGAAGAAAGGATGGGTATATGTGAGCAGAGCAATGCTTGAAGTGTTTTTGTGTATTCTCAACTTGGCAAGGTAGAAGATGGATGACAGATGCTCAGTCTTATCTCTGGGAAGGAGCTCTGAGATCCAAACTCGAATTATTCTGCAGTACTCTACATCCATCCAATTTGCATGCCCATTGGTGACTGTTCTGTGGGTTGTATCTCATTGTAAATACTTTGGATTCTGTATTATGGTTGTTATAATTTATATTCACATCATTTCAGCACTAACAGCAGTGCCAGCGTTGTTGGGAGTGAATGTGCCTTGAAATGTTTGGTGCCTACTGAACCTGATCTAATTCTTGTGATACAAAGGGCATTGCTAAAACCTCATCATGTACCTCAGACTAACAAACTGGTGTAGTACAACCCCACCAGCAAAATTACATGCCAAAAGGGCAACCTTTATTTCTGTTACTGATGTAAAAAACTCCCAAAAGCTGGATCCTTGAGAAGCCTTTGATTTGCACTCTTTAAGGCTGTGGTTTGTGAAAAATGCATATTATATGATTGGCTCTTTGCAAATATTGAAATGAATACTAGATGTGTTATGTTGGAAAGTTATGCTGTGCTAATATTTTTAAGTAGAGCTGTATTAATCTCCTTTAAGTAGTGTGGTAAATATAGTTTATAGGCTATAGCATAATATTAAAATAGAAACTATGTGATGGAAGATACTTTTTGTAACTAGCTCAAGGAATGGAAAAGATAATCAGGAAATTCTTTGCGTAGAGAACAGCAACAAGACACCAAGATCCCAAGAGAAGAATTATTGCTTCCTTATCGGGAAAACCTAGATTGATTTACAAGATGAGGGGGGGAAGCTGAAATTAAGCAGAAACACCCTTGGTTTGAAAGGAATGTTAGAATCATATGTGAGATATATGAATATGCAATAGGCTATTGCTTTTAAGGGTTAATCCTTTGTTAGCAAAACATGCTTTGTGGCAGAATGCAAAGCAATTCTTTGCTTTTTTATTGTCTTTTATTGTCCTAACTTTGATTGTCCAAATTCTTACTGTAATTTTTATTACTATTTTCATTACTATTTCTACTACTGTTAAACTTCTGAAATTTTAACACAAGTGAATGGTGTTTTTCACAAGTTGAAGCCCTTGCTGTAGCAGGATTATGGAAGAAGGATTTAGACAGGCCTGGAAAGGTGAGAAGAGAGAAGCCAAGTGTTTGCTGTGCTGTAGGGTCTTTCAGCTTGCAGAGCTGTATCTGGGGGCTTCTGAGGGCACTTTGGAAGGCACAGGACCGCCTCAGATTTCCATGAGCAGGGGAGAGGGAAAGGAGAGGGCTGAAAGCCCCACAGTTTTACCAGCAAATATGCACTTGAGCTATCAGTGTGAACATAACCTGTTTCTGTTCCTCACTTGGTGTGTGTCCTATGCATGTCTGGAATAGACAAGTCTTGGTGCCCCCTGTTGACAGAGTGACTAAATTATTCTTTCTCTGCTTAAAAAGGCAAAAAGCCCACAAGTTTCTCTCCCAATTCAGTACAAAAGACATCCCATAGGACTTTTGGGACTTCATCTCAGATCTGGGGCTGTCCGATTGGACAGAGGCCAAGAGGTCCCACCTAGGTAATTCACTAGAAAAGGAAGAGAACAAAGGAAAGAATCACTTTTGTGGGGTGTTTTAGCAGGAGCAAGAGCCTCTTGCCCCTGGCTCAGTTTTTCTCTGTAAGAGCTTTG